TCAACATGCTAGATCCTTCAACATGCTAGATCTCTCAACATGCTAGACCCCTCATCATGCTAGATCCTTCAGCATGCTAGATCCCTTAACATGCTAGATCTCTCAACATGCTAGATCCCTCATCATGCTAGATCCTTCAGCATACTAGATCCCTCAGCATGTTAGATCTCTCAACATGCTGGATCCTTCAGCATGCTAGATCCCTTAACATGCTAGATCTCTCAACATGCTAGATCCCTTAACATGACAGATCCTTTAGCATGCTAAATCCTTCAACACACTAGATATCTCAACATGCTAGATCCCTCAACATGGTAGATCCTTCAGTGTGCTAGATCTCTCAACATGCTAGATCTCTCAGTGTGATAGATCCCTCAACATGCTAGATCCTTAACACACTAGATTCTTCAACATGCTAGATCCCTCAGCACAGTAGATCTCTCAACATGCTAGATCCCTCAACATGTTAGATCTCTCAACATGCTAGATCCCTCAGCATTCTAGATCCCTTAACATGCTAGATCTCTCAACATGCTAGATTCCTTAACATGATAGATCTTTCGTTATTCTAGATCCCTCAACACACTAGATCTTTCAACATGCTAGATCTTTCAGCATGCTAGATCCCTCAACATGCTAGACCTTTAACAGGCTAGATCCTTCAGCACACTAGATCCTTCAACATGCTAGATCCCTCAACATGCTAGATATTTCAACATGCTAGATCCTTCAGCATGCTAGATCTTTCAGCATGCTAGATCCCTCAACATGCTAGATGCCTTAACACACTAGATCTCTCAACAGGCTAGATCCCTCAACATGTTAGATCCTTCAGCATGCTAGATCTCTCAACATGCCAGATTCTTTAACATGATAGATCTTTCATTATGCTAGATCCCTCAACACACTAGATCCCTCAACATGCTAGATCTTTCAGCATGCTAGATCCCTCAACATGCTAGACCTTTAACAGGCTAGATCCTTCAGCACACTAGATCCTTCAACATGCTAGATCCCTCAACATGCTAGATATCTCAACATGCTAGATCCCTCAACATGCTAGATCTTTCAGCAAGCTAGATGCCTCAACATGCTAGATCCTTCAACATGCTAGATCCCTCAACATGCTAGATCCTTCAACATGCTAGATCCCTCAACATGCTAGATCCTTCAGCATGCTAGATCTCTCAGCATGCTAGATCATTAAGCATGCTAGATCTCTCAACATGCTAGACCCTCAACATGTTAGATCCTTCAACATGCTAGATCCTTCAACATGCTAGGTCCTTCAGCATGCTAGATACCTCAACATGCTAGATCCCTCAACATGCTAGATCTGTCAACATGCTAGATCCCTCAGCATGCTAGATCCTTCAGCATGCTAGATCCCTTAACACACTAGATCTCTCAACATGCTAGATCCCTTAACATGCTAGATCTCTCAACATGCTAGATCCCTCAACATTCTAGATCCTTCAGCATTCTAGATCCCTCAGCACACTAGATCTCTCAATCAGCATTCTAGATCCTCAGCACACTAGATCTCCCCAACATGCCAGGATCCTCAGCATTCTAGATCCCTTCCAGCATGCCAGGATCCTCAACATGCTAGATCCTTCCAGCATGCCAGATCCTCAACATGCTAGATCCTTCAGCATGCTAGATCCCTTAACAAGCTAGATCCTTCAGCATTCTAGATCCCTCAGCACACTAGATCTCTCAACATGCTAGATCCCTCCACATGCTGGATCCCCCAGCATGCTAGATCCCTCAACATGCTAGATTCTTCTGTACCACTGAGCCCACCCCCACCCCAGAGTTGGGATCCCACCTCCTTGGGCCTGAATACAGCCCAGGTGTTCCCTCCTCTGGGCAAGCAGAACCTGGAGCCAGAGGTGGCAACTCCAGGCCTGACAGCAGCGGCCGCAACTCAAGCTTTATTTTTCCAAGTTATTCCCCAAATCTTTCTGTTCAAGGTCCTTAAGTAGCGTGGTAGCCTGCCTGACAGAAGGGCCCTACAGGCCAGGCCTCCTGCCAGCATGATCTATCTGAGCCCTCCATGGCACTGCCTGCTGCTCTGCCCCAGACAGGGCCAGTGGTGCCCCCATCTCCCACCATCTCTGACTCGGTCTCAGCAGAAAGGGGCTGGGACTGGTCTGTGGTTTTTGAGCAGAGTCTGCGATGCCCTGGTGCCAAAGCAGGGAGTGCCACCAGCTTCCCCATTGCCCGACCTCACGGCTCAGGGTGTGGGGATTTCTCACCTTTGCCTCCATGACCACTCTTGGCCTCCTGGGCAGATGGCAGCAGTGAGGTCCTGGCGAGCACTGGGCTCCCACCTTCCCCTCCCCTCCCAGGCTCGTCTCCCATTCCCCCATCACCGTTTCCTTTTTTCTGTCTCCTTTCCCTCTCTCTGCTCCAGCGGTTCCCAGGGAGATCCCAGGAAACAGCCTCAGGGACTCTAGCCTGAGAAAGTAGGGTCAGCTAGACTGGGCAGAAGCTGAGGTTTGAGTCAGGCCTGACTCTTGGGGTGATGGTCTGAGTGCCCCACCTCCCTCAGACCACCCAAAGCTCCAGCCCAGGAGTCCCAGCCACTCATCTCCAGGAGGCCCAGGGAGCAGCCCGGCAGCCCTCAGCCAGGGCCCCCTCTCCTCCCACACCTTCCTGGCGGGGGTCTCTCAGCTCCACCTGACTCAGTCTCCGACTGCACTGAAGGCTAGACCCTGCCCACTGGGTCAGAGGAAGCAGTGACCCCTGAGGACCAGGGAGCCCCCAGGAGGCTTTGGCACAGCCCCATGACGGAGGCCAGGAGGCCTGATCCTGACACTCCCTGTCCCGCCCTATGGTTCCTGAGGTTGGCAGACAGTGATTTCCTGGGGACCAGGTCAAGGGGGACAATCACCTACTCCTTTCAGTTTCTTGCTTCCTGATTATGGCTCCAGGGCCTCCCAGCCATCCACAGCTTTGGCGTTGGCTCCAGCTCCTCTCCTCCTGGTCCACAGCACTCCTCGACTCCCCTTCTCAGCTCCACACCATGCCCATGGTGGGCCAGGCAGGGCTCCAGCCCTGGGTCGCCCCGGTCGCGGGTCAGCTGAAACTGGTCTTGAGGCTGGCCTCTGTGGCTTGGACTCCAGACAGGGATGTGCTTTGAGCTTCAACAAGCCTCCTTGAAGAGCAAGGTCAGGTGTCTGTCCAGTCGGGTTTTCCGTTGCTCAGTGGATCTTCTCACTCTTCTGGCCTCAGTTTACTCCCTAGAAAATATGGGTCAGGTCATCTCCTTGAAGAGATGTGTCAGATCCCCTGATTCCCCGATGGCCTGGGGAGTGGGCTCTCGACAGTTGCTGAACCACTCTTGCCTCAGTTCATGCCACCACCTGGGAAAGTCGCCTGCGCTGGGGGGTCCCAGGGTGAAATGAGATGAATGTACAGAGTCCCGCGAAGCCTGGCTGAGGTCACGCTGGTTCTTACGACCCCCGACATGGTTGAATGACAGTCCTGAGAAAGGCAGGGACCCATTGCTCCCCATCACATCCCACCCCTGCCTCACTCCCACCCAACTGCCCAGCTGCAGCTGGCCCAACGTGGAAACGGCTTCCATGCTTCAAGAGCACAGAGACCCCCAGGCATCACCATTTGCACTTTTGTGCCAAACACACTCCTGCTAGGCAGTGAACCACAAACCCTAAGAGCCCCTCCATGGTACTGACCCCAGGGGGCTCTCCAGCTGCGGTCTGGGGGGAGCTTCTGGAAATCTGTGAAACCTCAGAAATGGCCAGCAAAACGCCATGGTCCCTGTGCTCTTTCTGGGGGCCCCTCAAGGAATCCAGGCAACCACGGGGGCAAACCCTGGCACAGGCAAGTTTTCCGAACACCAGCTCCCCACTCCATGCCAAGCCTGGCAGCACCAGTCCCCCTGCTATGGGCATTTTCTGCCTCCTAGACAGACCGCAAGACCCTCAGAACCTATAGTGGGCAGGGGTCTGATTCACTGCCCCCATTCCCCCCGCCGCTGAGCTGGGGATAGAGCTGGGAAGACAGACATTCCAGGTGCTGTGGGGAACTGCCCTCCAGGCCCCCAGACTCCCTCCTGCGGGCCCACTCCCAGCCGGGCTCTGGATAACGTCTCCGAGACCAACCGCGGCAGCGCAGGGCAGCCGAGCACTTCCTCGTCTGTTTATTACTGAACGCCGGCATCTGGGAGCCCGCGGAGCATGAAATTAGGAACAAATGTGCAGGAGGTCTAGACAGGAACTCTGCGGGCTGCTCTCCTTCGATCGAGGACGCCGGGGCCCTTGGGCTTCCAGGTAGTGGGAGCGCCTTTGTAACCAGACAGATGTGTTTGTGGAAGAAAAGGCACTCTGAGTCTCCGTAAGCCCTCGACGAGACGCCAGCATGGGGAGGAGTCTGACCGTGAGGCAACAAGCCTGTGTTCCAGGTCCAGCTCTGCCCTGGGCCCCCAGGGTTGGCCTTCTCTGCCCTGGCCTCGGTTTCCCCATCTGGAAATGGTGGGCACCCGCCTCACCTGGTTAGAGGGGCCGCTTGTGAAGCTGTCAGATTGCAGGGCCCGTGCAACTGCACTGCCGTCGGGGCGTCTGTGTGTTGACCAGGCTCTCCTGTCCTGGGGCCCGGTTGGTTTGGAAGGCGCGGGGCTGGATGAGCCAGAGGGCACAGCCAGTGCCGAGGATGCAGGCCTTGGCTTCTCCCTGGCTCCTACCACGAGCGCTGGGCATCTCAGGTGAACGAGGCAGACAGAAGCCTTCATTAAACGTCGCCCGGGCCCTGCACCATGCAAGGCAGTGGTAGGGGCTGGGGCTGGGGCACAAAATAAATAGGCTCTGGGGGGTCCGTTCCCGTGGGCTTTACAGCAAGTGAGGGAGACGTGGCAAGAGGGACAGAAAACTAGCAGAGTCTGAAATTCAGCACAGGATGTGTGGCCCAGATGGCGGTGAGCAGGGGGTCTCTTGCCGGGGAAAGGCGGGTGTGGGGAGGGGGCTCCCAGGGGAGGCAGGTGAAGGCCGGTGTCTGGCTCTGCTGCCAGGCGTTTCCTGCCCCACCCCCAGCTCCACGCCATTCATTCCTCCGTGCCGGTGCCGCAGGAGACAACTGAAGCTTGTAAACGCAGCTGGCTCTCCCTGCCGGCTGCAGAGACTAGACAGGGCCCTCAGAAGGGGACTGTTGCCCGCCCAGGCCCCTTCGCCACAGACTCTGTGGACAGGGGTGGGGGACGCACAGGGGAGCCCCGTCTCACAACCTGTCCCTGTAAAAACCCGGGGTGGGAACAGGGAAGCAAAGCCATTTATAAAGCTTTAAAACCAATTATGGTCCCAGGGGGCAGATAAACAATTCAGCGTTATTCTCGCCAAATTGCCTTGGCTGGCAGTGCGGAGGCTTCAAGGGAGCTGGAGAGGGGGGTGGCCCGAGTCACAACCAGGCGGCAGAGTGGCCTCCGCCAGGCTGTCACTAGGCCTGACCCGCATGGCTCTGCCTCCAAGGCTTGGCCTGGGCTGTTCCCAGCACCAACAGGCCCTCTCCTTCTCCCAGCCCATCCTTCACGGCCCGGCTCAGAAACTTCCTCCTCCAGGAAGTTTCTTTCGGTTCCTCCCCTATCCATTACCACCCTGAGCACCCAAGTCCTCCCCTGTTCTCTCAGGCACTCAGCTTTCTCAGAGCACAAGTATCCTTGGGAGCCAAAGTGTCTGTAGCCCTTTCCCTTCTCTGCCTACCCTTGGAGGGTGTCATCTGGCTTTATTGCTTTATCACTTGATGCTTGTTTACATTTTCATAATCCTGACTTTGTTGGGTGTCTAAATCATCTGGATTCCTGGCAGGGCCGATTAAAACTCCAAGTCCCCCAGAGCTGGGAGGAATCAGTGTCTAAACCCTGCCACACCCATCTTACAGATAAGAAAACTGAATCCAGGGAGAGGCCTCTGACCCAAGGTCACCAGCAAGAGTAGAGCAGGACGGAGGCCCCTCAGGCTCGTGTCACCTGGGCCACAGCTGAGTAGAGTCCTGGAGTCCCCAGGGAGGAGGCTGAAGGTGAGCACTCAGGGAGGGCATCAGGCGGTCCGTATTCTTCCCTCATTAAATGAAGGGGTGGGATGTGGTCCTTCTCAGCAATGGCGTTTGAAGTTTTGAAGTTCTGTGGTGTGCGTTAAAGTTCAGGAAGGCTTCCTGGAGGAGGAGGGCACGTACTGGGCTTTGATGGTGTGGTAGGCCCGGGGGGATAGGCATCCCAGAGGGTGCGGCACAGCAAGAGCAGAGGGGAGGCAGGAGGGTGAGGACCCAGGGAGGCCGTGTTGCTGGGAGCTGCTCGGAGTGAACTGTGGGCTGATGTCAGGCCGGGCGCTGGTGGAGCTGCCAGTGGAGTGTGTCTGTCGGCCATGCCTGGCCCTGGGACCTGGCGCCGTCTCGGGCGTTGCTGCTCCTCGGCGGGCGTGTATCTGCCGAGCGAGGCTGAGAGGCTCCAGCTGGACCAGCCCGGGTGTTGGAGGGTGGCTGCTGACAGCCCTGGGCACCTGGCCTGAGCCAGCACCCTTCCCGTCACACCGCCAGGCCGCTCGCTGCTGGAGGAGACCTGGGCCCAGAGGAGCTGCAGCCGGGCGGAGCCAGGGACCAGCTGCATCTCAGACCTGAGAGAGAGCTTTGCAGCAAGTGGGGCCAGCTCCCTCAGGGACCCGAAGAAGAACTCAGACCCAGGGAGGGATGCGATCCTAAGCACATCAGCACAGCACTGAGCACGGTGCAGCTGCTGTCCCACACAACCCCTGGGGGTCTCCCGTTTTATAGAGGAGGGAACTGAGGCAGAGAAATGGAAGCGTTGAAGGCCCATTCTTGCAGCTAACCGGAGGCAGAGCCAGGCTGGCACTTGGGGGTCCAGCCTGAGTGTCCTGTGTGGCTCCCCAGTACCTGTCCCTGAGGGAGCGCCTCAGCCCAGCCACGGCCACCTGCAGTCTCCATCGTCCCTGCAGTCTCAGCCTGACAGCAGTGGGAGCCCCTCCACCCAGGGACATGCTCCCTATGGGAAAGCCATGGCCCCCACTGCTATCAGTAAGCCCCAGCCATGGGCCCCCAGCCATGGCTCCTAGTGGAGGGTGGTGCTGAATTTTAATCCCTGCATGATCACAGACAACACTCGGGCATGAGCCTCAACCTCCCTCAACCCCTCCCAAGCTGTGCGAGTGCCCTCATTGATGAAGTGGGGCCATAATGACCTGGGTGCAAATAGCAAAAATGCATTCCAGGTGAATGCACACAGCAGGAGCCACTCTGTAGGTATCAGGGAGGGATCGGCACCTGAGTCAGGACCACAACAGCAATCTCTCCCGCAGCTGTGGCTGGCCTTCCTCGCTCCCTCCGGGGACCAGCGCCTCCTGCCTCTCCGACATGTGGCTGAAAACCCCACCCGTGGCTACAGCCTGGCCACAGCCTTAGCACTCATGTCTCTACCCAAGGTCAAGCGACCAGCAGGGACCGGCCAGTGTCTCAGGTTTTAATTCCATTTCCCAGGAGAGAGGCCAGCTGACCCAGTGTGGGGTGCACGTACATCCTGAACCAAGTAAACTGGCCCAAAGGGCAGCAGCAGAGGGCTCAGATGTGGCCACCAGCCTCTTGGCTCAGAGCACAAAGAAGAGGGCCATGGCTAGGCCAGCACCCCCAAACCTGATATCAGCACAGTCTGTGCTCCCCCAGAGGTGCTGTGGTATTCAGGACATTCATGTGGAGGAGATATGGGGTTCAGCAGTCGGGGTAGGGCGGCAGGGGCCCCAAGGTGGATGGTAGCAGCGGATCCAGCCCTGACTTGACCCAGATCCCTCATCTTACTGGTGCTGGGGTCTGGGCAGGTCACTTCTCTCCAGGCCTCAGTTTGCTCCCTAGTGGGATCATTTGAATATCAAAAAGAATCATGACTGCAGTGGATTGAAACACATCAAATAGATTTTCAAAAATCAGTGAGATTGCACTGGGCGAGTTTCCACACACAAAGGCAAGCTGGGGCAGACGACAGGCTGGGACCAACAGGGACGCGGGGCCTGCAAACGGGACAGGGGCAGCCTTTGGTTCACTGAGAGGTGCGGGTCTGGGCCGGCCTGTTCTCCATCCTCCCGGCACACACACAGCCACAAACCTCAGGGCACCAGCTCTCTGATAAAGAGAGGAATGAAACCTCTGAGACTTCCCTCTGCAGGCCACATGCTAGGGTAGCCACACAGATGATAAGGGAATGTGCTTTCCAGCTTTTTCAAGAAGAACTGGAGCTCATAAACGCGGAAGGAAGGATACCATTTGGAAAGTTACTACTTTGTAACTCCCAGTGAAGTAACAGATCCAGGTCATGCACAGGATGCTACAGCAATGGTCCGGGAGACCCACGGGAACCTGGTGACGGGAGAATGGGCCGAGAGCAGCTGCACCCATTAGCTGATTGTGACGTCAAGATGAGAGGGACAGCAGACATCAGGCTCCTGGAAATGATGCAACAGGAAGCCGGTTTAGAGGAGAAACACTGATAAAGGAGCCTGTTCAATGCCATGCAAGGAATTGCGGCCAGTTCCAGTGCATGGAAAATTCCCTCAGATCAACAACCCAGTTTCTCTAATAAACAACGTGGGGGTGCGGGGCGTGAATGGGTTTCGAGCCGTTCTAAAGCAAAAGGAGCCAAACGCAACTACATCCTGATTTGAACTAACCAACTGTAAAAAAGGCATTTCCAAGATGACAGGAGAAAGCTAAACGTAGGCTGGGTAATTTTTTAAAAATCCTCCTCCGTCAGATTCTGCACCGAAGTATTTATGGGTAAAGTGATATGCTCTGTGATTTCCTTTAAAATACTCCAATCTCTTCCTCCACCCCATCCCCCAGCAAGAAAAAAAAAATGAGGCTTGGGAAATTGAGGAAGGGAAGTGGCGCCAGCTCCCACTGTTTTGTGAGAGGTGATTGTGAAGCATTCAGGAATGCTGTAAGCTGCTTGTCAAACCTTGCTTGAACTGAAACTGGCCATGGTAAGAAAATCTACACCACAAAAATCAGCAAATGCTCCCAGCCGGGTGCTTTGAAAGCTGGTTTATCAGCACACCCCAGGACAGGGGTCAGCTGAATGCAGCAGCCACTGACAGCATCACTCCAGCCTCCCTGCCTCGTGTTTGGTGGACATTTTCCGCAAGAAGGAGTTTGCAAAGGGCATGTCCCTAGGCCTGGAAATCCCACTTCTAAGAATGTATCCTGAAAGCCACTGAAGCAGGTTCCAATGGTTCCCATTACTTAGCTACAAAGACGCTTATTAAAACATTGCTAGAAATATTTCTTTAATGTAAGAAACCCAAACGTCAGGCAGGAACTGGTTTTCAGTTTCGCAAGATGAAAAATTCTGGAGATTAGTTGCCCAACAGTGTGAAATATACCTCATGCTACTGAGCTGCACATTTACAAATGGCGAAGATGGTACATTTTACGTGTGCTTTACCACAATTAAGCATTTTAAAGAAAAGGGGTCGGTTACATGAAACAATGGAATCGGGTTAGAGATTATGTTGCAGAAGAAAATGTAAGGATATGACAGAATAATGGTGACCGTGTGAGATGAAAATGCAGGGAAGCAGGTTACAAAACCATATGTTCGGCTTGACTGCATTTGGGTAAATTTTAAAACGTGCGAGCTTGTAGAGCCAGGCTGGAAGGACGCCATTCATTGAGAGCGTGCTACGCTGAGCATGGAGAGACACGCTTGTAAAAGCGTCACAAAACCCTGGGCTATTAGCGTCCACCTTCTACAGATGTGGAAGCTGAGTCTGGGAGAGGGGCAGGGACAGAGGCCAGCTGAGGCAGAGCAGGGCCTGGGGCTGCTCCTGCAGCCCGTCCCAGGCAGTGCCCCTGCTTCTCCCGGGCACATCCTGGAGTGCTTTTTTTCCCCTCAGGCTTGTCTTCTCAGTTCTCTAGAATAGCACGGGTGACTTTTGTGGTGAGGAAGCGTGATGCTCTAAAGTTGGCGGCGTGTGTTGCAGGCTGTTGATGGAGAAGGGGGCGGATGACAGCCGGGACCGTGGTCATCACCGGGGGCATCTTGGCGACTGTGATTCTGCTCTGCATCATCGCTGTTCTGTGCTACTGCCGGCTCCAGGTACTCCCGGGCGGCAGGGGAGGGGACAGGACGGGGAGGCCCAGAGAGTGCCCCTACCTCGGGAGGGAGCCCCACGTGAAGGCCACAAGGGTCACAGCCCGGGAAGTGGGAAAGCCCTGTGGCAGAGAAGACGCACAGCAGAAGGCAGCCAGGACCCTACCACGGGGTTCAGTAAGACGTGCCTGACTCCCCTCACCCAGAGCTTTTAATGAGGCTCAGAGAAGGGAAGGGACTTAGCCAAGGGCACCAGCTGCCCGGACCGGGTGCCGCAGTAAGCACTCCCTTCCCGCCTGCACTCCAGGGCCATCCAGGGTCCCCATGTCTCCCTGAGAGATGATGGGGAGCCATCGGGGCAGGGCGAGGCAACACAGCTGCCAGTGCCTGTGACCCCCGGCTCTGCTGATGTGGGGCTGCGAACCCCTCCGTGCCTCAGTCTCCCCACCTGCAAAATGAGATAACAGTCACACCTGCGTGTTGCTGGGCAGAAGAGATGAGTGGATCGTCGTGAAGTGCTCAGCACTGTGCCTGGCCTGAGCCAGACCCATAGCACTGGTTAAACAGCTGAGGTGTCAGGCCTGGGCTTGGGCCACCCGACTCCCGCTGTGCCTGTCTCCCCTCCCCAGTCAGGGGTAGCCTTTCCCGCGTGTGGGTTCTGGGGTGGGAGCAGGCGGCCACACGGTCACCGTCCCTCTGCCCGCAGTACTACTGCTGCAAGAAGGACGAGTCGGAGGAGGACGAGGAAGAGCCGGACTTCGCCGTTCACTCGCACCTGCCCCCACTGCACTCCAACCGCAACCTGGTGCTGACCAACGGGCCGGCGCTCTACCCCACTGCCTCCACCTCCTTCAGCCAGAAGTCTCCGCAGGCCCGGGCCCTGTGCCGCAGCTGCTCCCACTGCGAGCCCCCCGCTTTCTTCCTGCAGGAGCCGCCGGAGGAGGAAGAGGACGTGCTGAACGGCGGGGAGCGCGTGCTCTACAAGAGCGTGAGCCAGGAGGACGTGGAGCTGCCCGCGGGGGGGTTCGGGGGCCTGCAGGCGCTCAACCCCAACCGCCTCTCGGCCATGCGGGAGGCCTTCGCCCGGAGTCGCAGCATCAGCACCGACGTGTGACCCGGGCCCGCCCCTGGGACCCTGGCCTGGAAGGTCCTGAGACCATGGGGGGATTCCTGTGGCACACCCACCTGGCCCCAGACCCCAAGTGGGGCTTGGCTGAGCCCTCCTCGAATCCCTGTCCTCAGGGGAGGCCCAGGCTTGGGGAGCCCCCAGGCTCACGGCAGGGATAAGGCTCATTGAACACAAACGTGTCCTGGGGGGAGGCACAGCTGGGGCCTGGGGCCGGAAGGACCAGGTGACCATACAGACGGCCGGGCATGCACCAGGACTCTCAGGCTCGGAGGCCACCGATACTCCTGATGCCTCTGTCTCAGACCTAACAACTTGGCCATCCCAGGAGGTCTCCATGTGTCACCCCCTCCCTGGGTCTCAGCCTTCTCACCTGCTCAAGGAAGGGATGACCTCAGTGAGGCCCAGGGCCCTGCAGCAAGGCCCTTCCTGGCAATTGCAGACCAAGGATTCTGCCCCTCCACCCTGAACTCCGGCCTCTCTCCCTCTATTTTTCCCTCTCTCTCTCTCCCCTACCCGTCTCTCCCTCTCACACACACACTCTCCAGGGTTCAAGTGCCAAATATCTGCCCAGGCTGAGACACATTGTGCCGAGCCCCCTGCAGATGGACAGGTCGCCCCCGAGAAGGGAGACTTTCAGGGGCAGCAGGGTCCTTGGGATGCTCAGCCCCGACCGGCTTTTTTAGGGGAAGAGGGAGGCACGGGGAGAGGGAGAGGCCATGTCGCAGCCCACCTGCCGTGGGAGAGGCAACGCGGAAACGTAGAGACCCAGTGCTCAGCCAGAAACAGGGCCAGCGAGCGGCAGTGCACGGAGGCAGCCTGCGGCTCGTTAGGTTGGACAGAGCCGTGGCCCAGGGCTTGAAAACCCCTGAGTTCCCCATGAGACTTGGCTGACCCTTCCCACCCTTGGGCCTCAGTCTCCCCATCTTGTGTGATGAGGGGCTGGTCACAGAGAGACCCTGAGGACAGAGGTCTTCAGGCTCTGGGTCTCAACAGGAACTGAGAGCTCCAAGGGAGACAGAGCTGCAGGTCACCTCCCCTACCTGCTTCTCAGCAGGACCTAGGAGGCCCGTCCCAGCTCCTGGTGGACCCTAAGCAGCTGGAGCCCACTGCTGCCATCTGAAGACCTCATCTGAGCCCACTCTCCCTCAAGCACACCCACCCAGGCTGAGGTCTCCTGGGAATTTTCACCTGCTCTCCTGCTGCTAAGGAAATGACGTCAGTGGTTACCCCAGAGAAATGCCCCAAACCCCGGGACACCAGCCGTCAGGAAGGCAGCCCTTCCTCAACCAGAAAGAGGCAACTATTTCCTCTCAGCAACCTGGCCCCAGGAGCCCCCTTCCCTCTCTGGGGCTCTCCCTCTCCTTCTGGGCCCTGCCATGGAGCCCCAGGGCCGGGGCAGCCCCTCTCTGCCCAGGGAAGGCACCGTCCTCAAAGACAAGGCTTTGCAGGGCAGTGGCCTTCCCTGAGCTGAGGGGTGGCCTGCGCAGGACACTTCTTGCCCTTACTCAAAAACGAAATCACCCGTTTCCAGAGGCTGGCGAAGACATAATTGTTATGTTTTCAGTTGTTTACCTCTTCTTACTTTCTCCCCTGCCTGGTTTGGATAGGCCAGTGGCATTCGCCCTTGAGGTCCCTCGCAGCCCTGGCCCCCCGGGCCCGCCCACACCTCTGGCTTCCTCTGTGCGTCCTGTGACGTGTGTTTCTGATGCGTCAGCGTGGGGGGTGGGCTGGGTGGGGTGGGGGTGAGGGCCCAGAGCTGGCCAGTGCTGTGGCTGTTCTGATTCAATGTCCCACTTCCTTTCTGGTCTCCATTCTCTCTGTAGATATGTAGATCTCTTTGAAACGAAGTAAACACCCATCCCTCCCAGCTCACTCTTCTCCACCGTGGGGACCTGCTGGGGGAGCCGCTGGCTCCCTGAGGATAAGTGAAAGCCAATAAAACATCTCCCACATTCCCGTGCAGCGTCTTCAGTCCTCCCGGGTGTCCAGGCCGTCCACACCCACGCTCTTCCACCTTCTCGGAGGCAGAGTCAGCTTCTCCCTCAGGATGCAGCCAGCCAGGCCAGGGCTCTGCCTGGCGGGGCCAAGAGCTGCTCTCTGGCTGGGGGGCACAGCAGGGGGCCACGTTTGATTTTGAGTTTCCCGGGTGGCTATCCATCTTCCAGCATTGAGAACTACCAGGATGGACTCTGAGCCCCTGGACAGAGGGTTGTGGGGACAGGCTGGGTCCCCTGGGACAAGTGACTGAGCATCTCTGGACCTCAGTTTTAGCCTCTGCACAATGGGGTAATCACGATGCCTGTATCGTGGGGACCTTTGGAAGATAAACCCAGGCAGAGCTGAGGAGGTGCTGGGCACAGAACCTGGCATACAGTAAGTGTACAGTAAGTGCTGGCAGAAAGGAGAAGCTGGGAGGAAAACAGTAAGACAGGAAGAAGATGTGGATGAGGGGACAGAGGAGGAGAGAAGAACAGCGAGGTAAGAGGGGACACAGGGTGAGGTGGGCAGAGAGGACTCAGACCCCCAGGTCTCAGCGACTTGGCTCTGCCCGGCCCAAGCTGGGGACCTTGAGCAAGTCCATCCCAGGGGCCTCTAACTCCTGGACTTTAGGGATGGAAAGGACCATCCTGATGGCAGCCCCTCAATGCAGGCACACTCAGAGACAAGAACCCACTGGGGGGGGGGGTGCTGCCTCAGTTTCCCCAGAGTCCCAAGTCCTTCAGAAACCACCCTAAAGCTGCAACGGACCCTGCTCTGGCTCCCAGTCTGAGAACAACCTGGCCTCACACTGAGGAAGCAGCCTGGCAGCCACTCACCTCCCGGCCGCCTGTGTGCACGGAAACACCTCCTGGGGCCCTCTCCAGGCAGTACAGCCCCATCCTTCCTCCCATGCGGCATCCTCCAGCTGTGTCACTTTCCTCTCCCAAGTGCTCCTTCCCACCCTCTCGTCTGGAGAAGCCACTCCTGCTGCTGGGTCCACGAAGCAGCCCCTCCCCAGAAGCCCCTGTGTTCCTGCACCCATGAGTCCAGGTCAGGAAGCCCTCCATGAGCTCCAGGAATGGCAGTGACGGTGCTGCTTCCTAGAGCTTGAGGTGGGCCCGGCCCCGCGCCCCCAGTACCTGCCTCATCTCCTCTGTTCTTGCCCACGTGCTTGGAGGTGGGTGCCCCGCACCTTAGCCAAGGTCTCTGAGCCTTGCCCCCACAGGTCCTGTACCAGTTGCTGATGGGCTCGAGATGTCAACTCCGCTCCTCCTCCGGTGCCTGAGTCCCAATGTCCCCAAACGCCCTCCCTGCACGCAGCTCCCCACGCCTCTTGTTGCCTTTTATCTGCACCTGACTGTCTTTCTCCTCGGAGCAGGTGCTGTGGCCCCCGCCGGCCCACGCTTGCACTCCAGGCCTCAGCAAGCTGGAGAGACCCCACAGAGCCAGGCCCGGGCCCACCAAGCCCCCAAACAACCCACTCCTCCAGCCAGAAGCAACTGAGACCCCATGATGCCACCATAAATAGGACCACTTTATTAACGTAGATGAGCACTGACGCTGACTGCAGGGGCGGGGCCCGCGGTCCATCCCCAAACGTCCCGTGGGCAAGCGCCTCTGCCCGGGGTAGAAAGTGCGGCGGGAAGAGAGCTCCACGGGAGGGGCTCTACAGGAGGGAGCACGCCTGGGCCTCCTTGGCTGCCTGTGTCCCTCTCACCCTGTGGTCTCCGAGGGAGGGAGGCCCCCCCCACATTGGGCTCGCCTGCAAGTTTCCTTCAGAAGGCCCTGCCACCTAGAGAGGGCGTGGGCTGCCGGCCCGGGGCAAGACACCTCCACTGCTGGCTGTGGGCCTCGGGCCCCTCGGCTGGGGGCTGCTGGGGGCTGGGGAGTGGGAGCCACAGACACAGGATCCACGCAGGAACACAGACAGGTTCCCACGGCACGGGTGGCCCTGTCTGGGGGAGGCCAGTGGGTGCCGGAGTCTCTGCCCCAGGAGCACAAAAGTCCATGGGCCGTGGGAAGTCCCCTCTTGACAGCCGAGACTCAGTGCCACGTCTCAGGCCAGCATGCCCTGCAGGAGGGGGGTCTGTGGAGGCCCCAGAAGCTGCAGCAGCCCCAGGAGGGGCGCTGGGTCTTCGTCTGGAAGGGGCTGCAGCTGCCGGGCCTAGGAGTGGGGGGGCCTGCAGGAGCGGCAGCACGCCTTGCTGTAGTACCAGTGCCCGCAGAGGTTCACCTTGATGGCCAGGGCACAGTTGGTACCTGGCTGGTCCTGGCAGCTGTCATCTGGAGAAGGAACACAGGGTGAAGCAGGGCAGTTTCAGGTGGTGCCCAAGGGGTGAAAACCCCAAGGACCCCCTACGTGCAGTTTTCCAGGGGCAGGTGCCGTGGGCCTCCCACCCCATGGTGGGTCTCCATCTCTAGCTCTCTGCCACCTCTTTCCTGGCCCATCTCTGTCCCCAAGATGTCGCTGTCCCAGATCACAACAGGTGATTTGATCTGTGTCCCAAGAGGAGTGATGCCTAGAGGAGCTACAGATGCCACACCTGGAGGCCTAAGCATCCCCAAGTAGTCCACAAGGGCCGTGCACGTCCACCACTCAATGTATCCAAAGCAGAACTCATCACGTGCCCTGCACCTGGCACCCCCTTGGAGCCTGTCCCCTGTCCCTCCTCCGGGTGCCCAGGCCCTGCTTCAGCTGTTCTCCTCCCTGCCCCCTGTGTGCCAGCCCCTTGCCATTCCAGCTGAGTCATCCTGGATTCAGTGGCCCCGCCATCTGAAGCTGACACTTTTCCCAAAGTACAGGTCTCAGCATGGCTCCCTGGGGCCACGGAACCCCAGTCAGGCCTCCTCCATTCCCCTTCCCACTCTCCCCTCCCAGTGGGGCTCAGCCATGCTGCGAGGGAGCCTCCACTCCCGGCACACCTTGGTCTCTCAAGCTGGTTCCCAGGTTCGCCATCAACATGAGCAATGCCTGCTCGCCCTTCAGGCCCTGATTCTGTCCTCACCTCCCCCGGGAGGCCCCAGACCCACCCTCAGCCTCCCCGCTCCTCACCTGGGGGCTCCGTGGGGCAGGGCTGCAGATCACAGGCCTGTCTGCCAACAGGTTTCACCAATGGATCGCAACCACGGACAATGTCGGTCCCCTGGTAGCACTTGACGTCTCGCATTCTCACGCCCACCCCGCAGGTCTTGGTGCACTAGTGTGGGAGAGACAAGAGAGCCTGGGGAAAGTCTCCTGATGCGGCAGGGGCCTTGGCAGGAGGCAGGGAGCCTGCGCATCCCCCCCTTCCCCACCCCACCCTTCCCAGGTGGCTGTGAGTCCCAGGTGACACAGGACCCGTGGAAGCCAATTTGAAACCCGACCTGCAGCTCCAGGGCTGAGTGGAGGTGCCGACAAAAGGGCATTGGCCGGCAGTCGGGAGGTTCTGATTGTCTCCCACCGAGGGCTGCCTCAGTCTCCCCAGATGCACAGTGAGGGTTGGTCCTTCCTCTCTCATCTCCCAGGGGTTCCGGGCACTGGCTGGCAGTCGGGAGGCTCTGATTGTCTCCCACCGAGGGCTGCCTCAGTTTCCCCGGATGCACAGTGAGGGGTGGTCCTTCCTCTCTCATCTCCCAGGGGTTCCAGGCACTGGCTGGCAGTCAGGAGGCTCTGATTCTCTCCCCACACAGGGCTGCCTCAGTCTCCCCAGATGCACAGTGAGGGGTGGTCCCTCCTCTCCCATCTCCCCAAGGGTCCTCTGGCCCCAGCTTTCCTGGGTCTGTGGTGCAGACTGTTTGTTGTGGGCCGATCAAATGCATCTCGCGAAGCCACCACCCCCTCCAGTGGCTCCCTGTCCAGATGTTCCCCTTGGAAAACCCCGCTGAGCTCCCCAGAACACCAGAGACATCTGCTGGCCCCAGTCACCCTGCTGTCCTCCTGCCAAGATCCCACAGGCGGTGGCCCCTTCACGCTCCCCCCCACGTGGGTGACCCCACGTCACCCAGACACGTCTGGGACCTGAGCCCTCGGTTCTCTGAGGTAGGCGGGGTGGGAGGCCCTGGCCTTGGGGCCCACTCTCCACTTCTGTTTGCAAAGGAGCAGGAGGACCGATTAAGACTTGGCAGAAAGACTGCCGCCTGCCTGCCTGCTCCGAGCCAGGGGGTGGGGGCTGGCACCGTCTGCAGGCAAGGAGAGGCTGGCTTGGCGCTGACGGCATGAGGACAATCAGCCTTTGGCAGGGCCCCGAGGAGCCTCTGGACGTGCCTCTGGAGAGTGGCACATTCCCGGCCGGCCCTGGTGCCAGCTCCTCTGCCCCTGGGGAGTCGATGGGACTGGGCAGCTTCAGGAACAAACACTGACTGAGCCGCCGCTGTACACTGGCATCAGGGGGGCAGCCGCCAGGAAGGAGGAGTCCACGTGCCCACCAGCCGTCTGTGCCAGCCATGCCTCACCCAGCCCTGCCACCTCCTCATCAGGGCTAGGAGGATGCTCCTCCCCAGCGTCCCAGGCTGTCCTTCTGGGGTCCCCCCTTCATGGTCTCCCCGTGCCATGGCTCATCACCCTCTGGGGTCCCCCCTTCATGGCTTCATGGCTCCCCCATGCCATGGCTCATCACCCAGCAAGGTACCTGCACCGAGTGGGTCCCAGTTTCCTGGCCCCACAGTGGCCTCCCCATCTGAAGCTAGTGCTCTTCCCAAACTACAGACCTGGGCTGACTCCCTGGGGCCCTGGAACCTCACTCAGCCCCCCTGCCCCTTCCCACTCTCCCCTCCCACCGGGCTTAGCTTTTCCAGAAGGAGCCTTCATGACCCAGCACACTGTGGTCTCTCCAGCTGACTCCCAGCCAAAGCCGGCTCACCCTTCAGGTCCTGGCTCTGCCCAGGCCTCCCCCGGGAAGCCCCAGGCCCACGCTTAGCCTTTCCCCTCCTCACTTGGGTGTCCTTTGGTGGGCAGCAGGGAATGAGTGAGTGTGTGTTCTCCCTCCTGAATAAGCAT